TTTCCGGGTCGCAAACTTCACTGACACAGGACATTGTCCCATTGTAATCGGCGGGGGGGGGGGGGTAGGCGTAAAATTTTGGATATTTAGAAAGAGCATACGGGATGTGGAATGTGGAAGCTGGCTGGGACTCAGAGATCATAAATCTGGACGCAATTTCACAGATGAGGATGCTGAGGTCTAGGGAGGTCACGTGACTTGCCTGACACTCTGCAGGCTTTGAACCTGGAGCCAAAGCCGGAGATGAGGATTCCTGACCTCCAAGTTCCCCAGGGAAAAGGGAGAGGCTGCACCAACAGTGGCCACGGCTGGAGCTGGCTCTTCCGTGGGGGATTTTCTCTCGAATCCCGTGAATGCTGGGCCGTAAGGGCACCCTGGTAGAGCCCACCCACCCCTCGTGTGGTGGTCTCCGCCCTCTAAGCCGAGTGCCTTCCTGCCTGAGATGACCAATCTTTCCCCTGCGCTCCCCACCTAACAGGCAGGAAGAACTGTCACAAGGGACCCACAAAAGGCTACTAGGCTTTTGTGGGCCGCATAGACACCCACCTTAGAGCCAGGAAGAAGCATGGGGTCCCAGGCTCCTAGCTGTGCTGCGACTAAACCCTCAAATGATCCAACCTCGCGCACGCGCGCTCGCACACACCATCTAGCGCTGGTACCACCAGACCCTATGTCTTCCTCCGGATGCTAGCACAATAGGACGCAGCAGCGAAGCTAAGCTCCCACCCTTGCCCAGCAAAATATTTTATTTTAATTTTAAACACAACCCCCCCCCACCCAGTTTTCATCAAGAGAGCCATAAAAAAAATTTCTGAATTCATTGATAAATCTCTCCTCCCAAAAGAACAAATTCTGGGGATCCCTGCGAGCAACCCCTTTCTCAACACCAGCACAGCCCCCCAACTCCCCACCTCACTTCTTATCCCCCAATGCTCAGGTTTCATCTGCATTCTGGTTATTCATTAAATAACCCAGAATCCCCCAGGGCGGGGTGGGTAGGAGCCAGGTGGCAGTATTTTCCAATCTCCAGGTGATTCCAAACTACAACCAAGGGTGAGAACAAGAAAGAAATATACTGAGGATGCCCCGGAGTGAAGGTCAAGATTGGAGGGTATGAAAGACACGGGAAGCCGCACACAGGATCAAGGAGCCAGAGGGGGCGACCCAGGGCACCCACTTCCTCCCCAGGCTCTGGCAGAGCTGCAGGAAGAAATGGGGGGTGGAGGCGAGCAGCGGTGAGGACCAGCGCGCACTGCCCCGCAAGGGCCCACATCTTCCGAGGACCCCGACACCTTCTCGGCGGCCTGCACTGGGCCACGCTGACCTGAAAGGCCAGGGCATCGAGCGCTGTTCAGTGAGATGGGAACCCACCCCTCTTGTGCAGGGGCGCTCAACGCAGCAGTCAATTTCTTAATTCTCTCCACAACTCAATTTGCGGGAGACTCCCGGAACGTCTTTATCCATCACAGATGGTTCGGGAAGATGATAAATTAATATCGTTTAAATGGAGACACGGCTGGAATGGTTAAATGGCAGCGTCTTCTTGGCCGCCGAAAAGAGAAAAGAGCCCCCGAGTCCATAAAGAAGACAAACGATAAACAAAACCGCCTATCTTTTGACAGATTCCGGGATGAGAGTATCGCTCACAAACCTTTCTGCAGAGAAAAGGGAGAAATTCATCTCATCTGACTTTGTATAGGACAACGGCCCACGCCATAATAAGGCCTTCCCAGTGCTGTGAAATTGCGCTCAATAGGCGGAGAGTGCAGCAGCCTGTTCCCTGGGCATGTTCATTACAGCCCTTTGTATGCACCAGCCCGGCCCGCCAGCCCCGGGCTTGCTTCTAAGCCAGGGGAGGGGAGAAAGGACCCAACGAATTTGTTGCTATGTAACTTCCCAAATGGGGCAACTGCATAATCACGTTTGGAATCTAATGCCCTTGCTCCAAGCTGTTCTTGTCTGGGTCCAGCCCTGCTCGAGAGTGATCAAGGTCGGGAGCCAGCCAATGGCCGGCAGTGCCTGGGTGGCCTCAGCCCCCAGCCTGGGGCTCCTCTCAGGCCCTGGGAAGTCAGGGGTAAAGAGGGGCCCCGTGTGTAGCCATTCCCAAGCACCCTCAGGTCAACTGTCAACTTGAGTCAAGTGCCTCAGCCGGTTTGTCCCAGGGCCGCCCCCCCCCCCGACCCTCACCCCAGTGCAATGCTTCTGAGACACAGCAAAGAAGTACATAACGTGAGGCCATGATGGGACTCCCCGAGGTCACGCCCAGGAGGCCGGGGCCTGGACAGGCTGCACATCAGGACGTGGGGGACTTCGGAAGCCTCTGAGAGCAACCCCATCAGAGAGCAAAATGCTGGGGCCAAATGCCTTCAACAAAGGAACCATTTCCTTAAACTGTCCTGCCCCCGGAAGACAAGACAGTAGCCAGACTTCGGGATGAAAAGCAGGACCTTACAAGTCACATTCCTCTTGCTCACCAATCAGGGAAGGGAACTTTTGGGCAGTTATCTTTCCTCCCCAGTCAGGTGGCAGGATCCCTGATGCCTCGCCTCCCCCCTCCCCCCACCTGCTGCAGTCAGGAGACACCTCATGCCATCCCTGACTGCTACACTTCCCTGGCAGGATCCGCAGGCAGGATCCTTCTGCGAAGAATCTGTTCTTACGTTTCTCCTCTTCCTTGGACCTTTCTCCCGCGTTGCACCAAGCCTGAGGGCAGCTGCTGTCCAAGGCTCCGAGGGAAGACAGAGCCACCAAGGCCAGCCACAGTGTTTGCAAGAATCAGAGGAAGGCTCCGCGCCACTTAACCGGAGTGGCAGAGCCCCGGAGGAGAACATGCGGGTCCCCGGGGCCCTGTGGTTTCCGGGCATCTCACCCTGAGCCAGGAGAGGCCACACATGGCTCTTGCACCTCCCCACAGCAACAGAGGAGAGGGAGGGGAGGCAAAAGGCAAGATGGCGGCGGCCCCTGCTCCCTCCGGGGTCCCACCTTTCCTTCAAGAAAGGCAGAAAGAAGCTAGCATCACAATACATAACCACTGCCCTTCAACGCACCGCCGAGACCTTCACCATGGGCACGGGGCTGCCCACCTGGTGATGAAAATTTCCCCCAAGGAATCTACATCCATCAGTTGTTTACAAGACCTTGGCTTTGGTTTGTTCTGTAAAGGAAAGACAATAGGCAAAGGGGGGCTGGATACCTTCCAATGACATTCTCTGAAAACCCAAAGACCTCTCCCCCTGGTCACGCCTGCCTGCCACGGTAGACGTTTCTGGGTGCCTTCTCCCAGGCCACCTCCTCAGTCCCTACTCAAAGTCTCCTGGGGGAGTCTCACCTTGACTGGCTGTTTTGAGGGGGTGCGGAAATAGCCCAGCTGCCTTTAGGCGTAACCTTCTCTGGGCTACCACTAGAGGCAGCCTTGAGCTCACAGATCTGGGAGGACAGCTTGCAGGTGTCCGGGGAGCCACCGGATTCATCCCTGTTCCTACGGGACCGAAGGGATTTCTCCTGGGGGACACAGACCGGGAGGCTGTTTCGTTTTGGAGAAAAGCAATTCTCCACAAGGAGGGCTGGCTTCATGCTCCCGGTGCTCAGAAGGGCACGTGCTTGGTGAAGGCGGTGCTGCCGATGCCATTTTAAAAATTCTTAGCAATTCGGGAATAAGAACCCCGTGTTTTCCTTTCGCACTGAGGCCCACAACGCGGGCAATCGGTCCTGCGCATGAGTACCCAACATCTGGCAGACTTCCTGATGAGACGATGCTGTGGCTTCATCCAAAGGCTAAGCGGTGGCCACACACGGGTTTCCCGGCTGCGGCTCATCATCCTGACAAGGCTGCGGTCTTCCCCGCGCCGGGGTCCACACAGGTCCGTGTCAGGACCCCGTCCATGGTGGATGATGGCCCACGAGCCCTCAAACGTCAAGATATTCTTGGGAAGCCATGCTCACGGCAAGCCCTGGACTAGACCCCAAGTTTCGGGCCCGGACAGCTCTGCTTCCCGGAATTCCCAAAGGCAAGTGGGGGTGGGGGGTGGCCCACGTCTCTCCACCCCCCCCCCCGCCATGTCACTAAATTCCCCGGCATTTCATCAGCTCTTCTGAGTCATCTGTCCGTTGCTTCATTCTTGCGAGGGGGAGAAAAACACCCTGCAGAAAGTCAAAACATTCGTGCTCGCCCCCGTGAACGAAAACAGTCTCCGGGCTCCCTTTAACTTTTTGTCCCGAGAAGTAAAGCTATTTGCAGGTGGATTAAATGTTCCTTCGGAGACCCTGCTCCTGAAGCGGGCCGCCCTCACCGCGACTGTGACCGTGTGTGTCTGGGCGCGGGCTGGGGGGCCCGGGGGTGCGCGCACATCCAAAGAAAGTCGTCTGCGTGGTTTCGGTAAAAGAGGGCCCTTTGTGCCGCCGCTAAGCCTGGTGAACATGACCCCCGCCCTGTGGTATGCGGCGCACCTGTGCAGACGGAGGAGCAGCCGGGGGCGGGGGCCCTGCGCCCTCACGGGGATCACACCTCCTTTCTTCTCCTCCGAGCCACTTCTCCATCGCCCCTTTGTTTCGGCTTACACCTCCGGGGGCCCGTGCGCACATCCGTGAGTGCGCATGCGTCTGCGAAGCCTTACCCCCTCCGGGGGCCCGTGCGCACATGTGTGAGTGCGCATGCGTCTGCGAAGGCTTACCCCTCCGGGGGCCCGTGCGCACATGTGTGAGTGCGCATGCGTCTGCGAAGGCTTACCCCTCCGGGGGCCCGTGCGCACATGTGTGAGTGCGCATGCGTCTGCGAAGGCTTACCCCTCCGGGGGCCCGTGCGCACATGTGTGAGTGCGCATGCGTCTGCGGAGGCGTCCAGCTCAGGGACCCCTGTGCGCGCATGCGTGAGTGCTCATGCGGCTGCGTACGGCGCGCACGCGTGCACGTAACGCGCTCTCGTTCAAGGCCGGTCCGGACCCGGACCAGGAAAGAGAGGAGCAGTGGGGACGGTGTTCGCGAGGCCCCGGGCCCTTGCCTACCTTTGCAGGCCTTCCGGTGGGTGACGGGCTTGCCCATGTCGCGGTAGTAGCCCTCCTTGCAGTAGTGGCAGTGGCGGCCGGCAGTGTTGTGGCGACAGTTGAGGCAGACGCCCCCGCTCTTGCGCCCAGACAGCTTGTACAGCTCGGTGTTGAAGCGGCAGCGCCGGGCGTGCAGGTTGCAGTTACAGGCTGCGGGGAGACAGGGAGAGGCGTCAGGGCGGGGGTGCGGGAGAGACTGGCCCCAGCATCCCCTCTGCTGGACCACAGTCCTTCCCCGCGAGCTTCTTCTTGGCTCCCCTCTTTGCATCCAAAATTGCATCCAGAAGCACCCACCGGCCACCCAGCAGTACCCGAACCGCTGCATAGCTCCTGCTTCCCTCTCAAACGGAGTCTGTATATTTCCACCCACCGACCTGCAATCCCCACCCCTCCCATCACACACCCCCCCCACCTCAAAGCTGGGAGATGGGGCTGGCATCGGCATGGCGGGGGAGGGGGCCTGAATGATGCCCCTCCGTCCATTTGTACGCGGAAGCCCTACCCCTACACCTGAGGACAAGACTGTTGTGAGATGTGGCCTTTCCAGAGGTGATGGCATCAAAATGAGGCCCGAAGGGTGGGGACTGGAGTCCTGATAGGGAGAGGCAGCTCGGACACACGGGGCACAGCACAGAGGAGAGGCCCTCTGCAGGCCAAGGACAGAGGCCCCAGGAGAAACCAGCCCTGCCGACACCTTGACCTTGGACTTGAAGTCTCCAGTGAAACATGCATGTCTGTTGGTTAAGTGCCCAGCCTGAGGTTTTCTGTTAGAGCAGCCGGAGGTTTCCAGGGCTTTTGGCTCTGGCCGAGGACACTGCCCCCTCCCTTGAGCTCTAGCCACCAGGCTGTCCTCTCCGTCTGCAGCTGCCCCGTGCACACTGAGGACTGGGGGGCCACTGTCCCAGCTTTCTTCCCACCTTCCCCTTGGGCGGCTTCGCATGGCCTGGGCACCCTCATATTTGCTTTTCCTCCCATCCAGGCCCCTGCTTCCCTCTGCCTGCTCCCTACATGCCCCTCGGGACTCAGCGCGCTCTCCCCTCCACTCGGATGTCATCACTCTGTGCTCCTGGCTCCCAAACGCGCATTCCAGCATCCGGTGTGGGGCTTCCACGTACCCAGAGGCACCTCTCCCAAACCCATCCCTTCCTCACCACCCCATCACCCAAGCTGGGCCCTCCCGGCTGCCTCAAAACCGCACCCAGAGCAGCAGTTCTGAGCTGCAGTCTAAGGATGTCCATTGCCAACTGCAAATCTCTCAACGGCCCTCTGGATTTTCCTCCGGGTAAAATCTAAATCAGGTGTCACACAGCCCTCGGGGCTCTGAATAAGCGGGTCCTGCTTCTCTCCCCACTGTAGCTCTGCTCACCCTCTCTCGTTCTTATGCCTCAGCTGTCTCAAGTTTTCTTCAGTTTCTAGGGCATACCATGCGTGAGGACCCCTGGCCTGCCCCCTCTGTGGCTTTGCGGATGCTCTACGGTACCTTCCAGAACCCTCTTCTCCCCAGGCCTTTCCTCATCTGTCTGCATCCTTCTCATCCTCCACGCCGTGGTTTCAACGTCTGTCCCTGACCCATCTTCCCCCTTCCCACCCACCCCAGGCATCCAGTGTGGCCCTCTCAGACCACCCCATGATGCCCATGACCTGCTTCTCTAGGCTCGTACCTCCAGGATAACTCCAGCTGACATCCTAACCGCTCTTGCTCCCTCTTCAATACAGTCTGCCTGCTTTTGTGCTAAGCATGTTTCAAATCGCATTTTATGTAACATCTAAAGAAACATGTAGGGCCAGACACTTGATAAACAAAAGCAAAAAAAAGAAAAAAGGAAAAAAGATGTATTTGGCTTTCCAGCAACCGCTGTTAAGGCAGAGGCCTCTCCTTGCAGGCTTTAATTAACATTTGCTTGGTTGTGGAGCTATTTCATTCTTTCCTATGGACATGGCTCATACTTGTACATCTCACTTCGTGGCCTGTTTTCTCAGAATGATGGCCATTTTTTAATGCCAGATCTGGTTCACCGTGGTTTTGAAACTACCTGTACACATGTATGTCATGGGCTCCTTGGAGCCCCCAGTGGGTGCAGTTAGAGGCGGGTTTGGATGTATATTTGTGCCATGCCCTGATGGCTGCTGCAATGCGAATTTCTCAAGACTGGGTTAACTTTCAGATCTACACATTTTTCACTCAGGATTCAAATTGCCAAATTGCCCTCAAGAAAGGCTGTCCTAGCTCCCACTCCCTTCCAGCAGGATATGAGAGTTACTATTTGGCCACTCCCTTGAAAAAAATAACAACGTGCATTTGGTATCAGAACTTTTTTTTTTTTTTAACGTTCGCCAGTTCGTCTGGAAAACACACACACACACACATGATTTTAATTTACATGCTTTGATTCCCAGTAAGGTTGGACGTTTATCCATGTGTTTGTTTTTCTATTTATATTTCTTTTGTGTGTGTGTGTACATTGCCTGTTCATGCCATTTGCCCAGTTTTCAAATAAGGTGGGGTTGGTTTTTTTTCTTACAATAGCTAATGCTCTTACATATGACGGATTAAAAACTATGTGTCTTTTCTACCACATAAATTGCACAACTTTGTATCAGCTTCTAATTCATTTATTACTTTTGTGATTTAAAAAAAAAAATTGCCTCTTTAACTTGGTCTCTCTGATGGTACGTGTTTCTTTAAATGTTCTTACTAAAGACACACCCATTAGTCACTCAACTGTCAAGAAGAGAAGGATGGGGCTCAAGGGAGGCACTGTGGGGGCCACAAGGGGAAAGGCTCAGTACACACCTGAATTTGGAAGCAACCAGAAGGCAAATGAGGCCAGAGAATGATTCCTGAGAGTCTCACCAAGGGTCCCTCAGCACCTGAGCACCTGGGACTGAGCTCAGCCTCACCTACCCACCAGCACGAGGGACCATTGTGCATACGCATGCATGTCCACTGCCCCTTTGGACTCAGACTGGATGCGGGTGCTGCAGGCTGCTCAGAGGGGTTAAGTGACCTAACAGCCCAGGACCACCGAGGCAGTTAAGTGGGGGCCCGGGACCAGAACCTGGGTCTTCTGGCTCTTGGCCCACTGCCCCAGAGGAAAGGACCCACATCACTGGAGGAACAGCGGGGACTTTAGTACAGAATCTGGAGGTTTCCTACTGGCCCGGAAGACAAAGGGCCTGGCACACCGGCCCAGGGACAGGGATCTGGGAAGAGCACCCACGTCTGGCTTCCTCAAGGCCCTCTCGTCCCGGGAAAAGCCTCCCCAGCTGCATCTTCTGGTCCTTCGTGGAGGCGGATGCTAATCCTGTGTCTTCCTCTGTAAAGACAGAGCTAGCTGTCCCTCACTCCCTCAGGGGGGCTGCCCGAACCTCTAAGCCCCTCTAGGGAGCTCAGCAGCCCCACTTCCCCACCCCAAGGGGAACCCTGGGTGGTATCCCTCCTTCCGTATGCACCTTACACCAACAAAAGGTTCTTCCCAAACAACCGGCCACACAAAAGAGAGCTCAGAGGCTGGACATCAAAAGGCAGGGCTCCCCTCCCTCCCACCTCTTGGAGCTGTCAGGGGACATCAAGTGGCAATTGCCCACGCTCAGGCTTCTGCAAAGTATTTTACGGCTTGTTTTCTTTTCTCTGTGTTTTATTTTCTCTGCACAAATGGAAAAATGCATCAGGCAGAGCGGCCCCCATCTGGGTCCCTCGGCTCCACACAGAGATGTCACCCCACTCCCAGCCAGGCCCCGGCCCTTTCCTCAGAAAGACACCTTAATCCCTCATGCCTTCCTGTTTATTCTCCTGCCTCTCTTGGAGGCAAAAATATTGGGTATTCGTTTCATTATCAGATTTCAAGGCTTCAAGGGAAGGAAAGGGTAGCTTTGTGAGAACAGAGAGGTCAGCGGGGGGAGAAGGGGGCAGGAGGGCAGCACAATGTCTGACGAACCTCCGTGAGCCCGGGCCAAGGGCCCTGCATGGCACTGCATCCTGTCCAGAGACAGCTGGCTGGTCTAGACCCCAAGCCCCATGCCCTCCTTCGGCGGTCATGTGGGGGTCACCAAGGACACATCACGCGTGGCTGTGTTTCAGACCCAGGGGTGGAACAGGAAGCGGAGGTAGGAGCATAAGACACCCGCCCCCCCACAATCTCCCCATCCTGAAACCCAATGGGGAAAGGGACCCAAGAGACAGTCCCGTCAAAAGATCCTCTAAGTCCTATTTTAACCTCCTGCCTGTCACCACCATTCCTTAAGCTTTTCTAAACCTGACCCACCAAAATGGGTTGATGGACCCCTCACCGACCCCCCAGGCCCGTTCAATTCAACACACTCTTGAGTGCTCCGGCTGAATGCCAGGCCCTGTGACAGGCCAGGAGAGAGACAGGGATGGGCAACATCATCAACTATCCAGGGGCTCCCATCTGACAGCAGGAGGCGGCAGACGGGGGCTCTCGGCAGCAAGCCCTCAGATAAAGCGGGACAAACGCTCTCCCGAGTTGTGCTCGTTCCTAGAGGACAGGCAGTGTCTGCCCTTACAGAGCAGATCTCGACATGTCTTCACTATACAAATAAGAAAGAGCAAAAGTGGGCAAGTCCAAAAGAAGACAGATAATAGATGGCTGAGTGGGGGGGATGGATGGATGGATGGATGGGTGGATGGAGGCATGGATGGATGGATGGATGGAGGCATGGATGGATGGATGGATGGATGGATGGATGGATGGATGGATGGATGGATGGACACATGGATGCATGGATGGATGGATGGATGGACGGACACATGGATGCATGGATGGATGGATGGATGGATGGGTGGGTGGATGGATGGATGGGTGGGTGGATGGAGGCATGGGTGGATGCATGCATGCATGCATGGATGGGCATGTGGATGCATGCATGCATGGATGGATGGAGGCATGGATGGATGGATGAGAGGATGGATAAGTGAGTAAGGTGGGTGGAGAGGTGCATGGGTGATGGATCAGTATGTGGGTGTGTGAATGGATGAACAGATAGATGGGTAGATAAGTGGATGGATGCCAGCATCAATGAGCAAATAGGTATGTAGGTGGATGGATGAATGGGTGCATGGGTAGACAGACAGGACAGCTGGAGAATTGTGTGTTCTGCCTGGGCCACGTTCTGACAAGATATGGCTT